TGACATATTCACAAGCTATGAAATCCATTTATAGAGCTTAACACATCGAAAAGTGATTATGAATATGTCTATATATAGAATTCTTATGGTAGTATATACTCAAAAAACTTCACAACTATAAGATTATCGCTGAGTAATGTGAAAGAAACAAATCATGGTTACTGCAGTGGTAAACGTCGTACTTTTCCTTGGGATGTCAATGTTGTACTTTGAATATCAAAACATGAGAATGGTCTTAGAGACTATCATCCTTAGCGTTTTTACATCTCACCTGAAGGTGAGTGTGGAACATGATGAAAATAATATCTATAACTATACCCACACCCAACTGCACTAAACAAAATGTTTCTTAGAAAAGTCAATTTCTTTCTATTATAGGTAGGTAGGTAAAACATGAAACCTATCGTGTAAGTCAATGAAAGTTATTGAAATTCAATTGAGATGCATGGAAAAATATAAATCATGTTGATTGAGATAATCAAATCGGCGCAGAAACAATTTGTATAGATTATCGATTTAAAATTTCATCTGATCCGGTCATTTTGTGCTTTATTTTAATGAATCTTTTTCATACCCTTCTGGTTCTTCGCTTCTTTTAAAAATCGTTCTCTACCTTCGAAAAATTATATAGCCACCGCTATCACAGACTGTGACAAACATTTGCAAATGATATATAATTTAGTGCAAGTCATTATGCATGATGACGACAGTGGGTGTGGGTGTGGGTGAATAGAATATCCGCAACAACACATTCATACAGTCACACCGATACCCACGCTCACACCCACATCTCATATCAACAGCCATATTCACATCCGATGAAAATAGGCAAAGTGAAAGAAAAATAATGAATTCTGTATTTCACAAAGAATGATCAGAAAAAACGAAAATAAAAGAAACGTTCATTTTCCGGCGGCGCAACATTTGGTATCGTCGTTGGAACAAGGTCGTTTGTCATTAGAACACACCACATGTCGATAGCAGGTTTCTTTAAAAAAGTCGTAGCATTGCCCTTTTTGAAGGTCACTCATGATACACGGAGATTGGCTTCGATCACAGAGTGTACCGTACGACCAGCATGTTTTACCACCGCCGATCTTGTAACACTGCTTTCCGCATAAGTTTTCACCAATAGAACATACTACACTCTCACCATTACCGACAGGCCAGCATACTTGTGTATTTTGATTATAGCACACACCTTCTGGGCCATTCGGACCATTCCAACGAGTGTAGCATGGAAACTCGTTGCTACTACAAAATGGAAAAGCAGCCTTCACCTCTTTACCGACCATTGCGACGAAGATGGCGCACAGTATCAACTGTTTGAACATCGATGCGTCTATATTTATAGGTAGAAAAATCACATTATTCATATAGTTCAAAAGAATAAGGCTTATCAGCACATACTTGAAATTTGCTTAGTAAAACAACAGATGATGGTTTGTTGAGAAATAAACATGAAGTCTTCCTTTATATACAAGTATGAAAACGGAATTGATTCTAGCAACAGAACTGTTTAGCGTCTTTTAAGCAGTTCTTCGCGATTGAAATATTAAATTACACAAGAATGATCAAGTATCGCTATTAAAAGCTTTAAAATTTCATTTTAAAATTGAATACATAGTGCAATAATAAAATATTGACTGAGCACCATAATCGTTGTAAAATGATTAAGGGCCCTCCCCTAAGATGATTTTTTTGTTTTCGTGCATCTAAGCTGGATCAAATTTTTAGCGGAGGTGTATTGCGAGCTAGAAACCTCACAGTAAAAATCTCAACTCGATATATTGCAGTTGAGTTTGGAATCTAGTTGAGATTAGAATCACTTAGTTCACTTTGTTTGTTTAAAAATTTGTCCAACGCATATCCAAGAAAACTTGTTTGTTTCTTGTCAAATTTATATCTAGTACTACTTCTCGGACAATAAAAAGTATCTTCGTACTGTTATTTTGTTGATGAAAAGCCATTAATCATTCTATTTATTGTTTCCTTTTAAAAGTAAATCTTACTCATCATTTTACTTATATTGTAGTTTCTATATCGGTGCTCGGGACATGGGGACATTGAATGATTGGTTAAATGTTTAGTGTTAGCAAATTCGTTGTTAAAAAATTGAAATTGAATAATTCATGCTATTTAGAATAGCAGCCTATCTGATGTTGGATTGATTAATAATTGGACTACACACAGATTGTTGATAATCTATTCAATCGACTTATTGTGAGAAAGTTTATCAATGTAAGATCGTAGCTTAGAATTAAGAATACTCATTTTTTTGTAAGAGATTCTCATGAAAAAAAATTTATGTAATTTAAAACAAACAGACATAGAATGTGTTTCTTGATTGAATGTTCCATAACAACGAACATCAATCGATTAATTATAAGAAGATGAATAAAGTCCATAAAATTCTAATATTCACTAAATAAGCGTGGTTAAAAATGAAAATTTTCTATATGTAAGTATTTTAAAATAACTCAAAGTAAATCATAGAAGATCGACCAATCATTTAGAATCGCTAAAATTACAAAAGTTGAATACAATAGAAAACAAACATTAATTATCGTGTGACTCATATTATTAAGATGCATTCCAAACTCAACTGAATTCCCATGTCAACTGTTACAACAAATTTGATGGATTTGACCAAAATTCACTTTTTAAGGGGGACCCCCTTAAATGTGATCATACTTTGAGTACACTTTCCTTTTTTTTTGGCGATAGGCATTTGACGCATTACTATGATATTATGCAAATATCACCTTTTATGTACTTCTACTTTATTTCTTTCTTTCTACGATGATGTTGACACCTACACATAAGTGGTGTAGACAGAACAGAAGAGATGACAGAATACGTTTCTCAGACAAGCACATACTTTTCACTTCCATGTATTTTTATGCTGATATTACAGTGAAACAACGAATGATCTAGCTCAAAACCGGAGAATGAGGGTATAGTTTTTCCTCTATTGAATAGTGCAAGTGTTCTTGAAAAAGATGGTTAAATGACCAAGTTATCAGAAATAACTCGCAGTCGATTGTGAACTTTTTAAACAAGTCTCTTGTTCTCATTGATAAACTTCGATATAAAAATTTGCACTGAATCAGAATAAACCAGGCTAAATGTATATACAACCATAATGGATACCAAAAATCATATAAACTATGCTTGTAAACTTTGAGTTGGGACCGAGTATGGGTGTGGATAGAGGTGTGGCTTTGGCGTGCGAGTGTAAGTATGGGTGTAGATGTGGATGTGGATATGTGGATTTAGATGTTGCTGTTCTCTTCACCGACACCTACATCCACACCCAAAAAATGATGGAAATCACTAGAAACCAAGAAATTAGTTCCTCGCTTGGTTTTCCATCAACTCCAAACACTTAAATCTGTTATTATGTTCAGCACTATATGAATCCTCATAACTTCTTTATCTAGGGTTTCTGAATATCACAAACTCTATGAGAGTCTTGAATCATACGGTTCATTGTCAAAGTGTACCATTCTATATTTATTAAACAATATAAAAATTTCAAAAAACAACATACAAGTTGGTTCAAAAGTCGTTTTACCGAAGAGATTGAATAACTCTGTCATAATTTGACTACATGAGCTGATTCTTTTACGACTGACAAGAGCAAATTGGTAAATCATATCCATGAGAAAAAATTGACAAACTGCTTTGAAGTATCATCATTATTATATTCAATAAAGAGTTGCAACTTTTCAAACTTGTATTAGGGCAATATAATTATTTCGTTAACAGAAAATAAATGATACATATTTCCTTTTTAATGAATTCATTAGAAGAGTACTGTTTGTATAAAATTCGTACTACAGGCACACATCTTCTTTCTTATTGAGTCTTGAAAATTTCAACTATAAAAAGTAAGAATTTGCTACGAAAGTTGCAATATAATCTCCTGTAGTTTGTGAAATGTTACGATTCTTCATTGAGATTAACGATGATAATTCAAAGAAGTGTTTATCAATATTTCTTTTATGAATATGATCTATCAATACTGTCATTCATGCTACATTATCAGTCTAATTGATGAAAATGTGTCAGAGATATCCAGGCCATTTTCCTTCCATAAAATAAATGTAAGACAATTTGGCCTTTCGCATCAGTTATGTTGGTTGTATATTTTATAAATTCATTAATGCATATTGTTTTCCTTTTCTTTTCTTTTCTTCAGCTGCATCTAAGAAAGAAAAGAGATATAACTGTGCTGTTTTCTTCCCGAAACGGTTGTGTACAGATTGGTTTATCTTCTTATACTTTTTTTCTTTTCTTTTGAAGAATATTGTAATGGAACATGTTTCTTTGCTCTTTTCCATATCATGCGTACACATGCGTACTTGTCTTTTATCTTCAAGTATTGCATTAGTTCTTATTCTGATATTATAGTTTTTATTTTCTTGTTTCCATATTTGATACCAACAGAAATACATCCACTAGGGCTAATCGTAGGATAGTATAGAAGAGAAAAAATCGTCTAATAGGATACAATATGCTTCCAAATTTTCTATTTCACATAGAATGGATAAACTTTCCAAAATGTTCTGTTTCATGAATACGATACGTTTAAAAACCTCACGTCTCATCCCATTCCATAAAACATCATATTCATCGAACAATTTTTGAAAGTGTCATTAATGGACGCAATTATCTGTTAGACTGATTGTAGAAAATATGATTCTACTGGTATATGATACTACTCTTATCTGTATGCCTATTGATGTTTTCTTCTTCCAACACGATAGATAAGAACATCATCAATGCAAAATAATAGTTGTCTTTCCGTATTTTTTTTATAAGTGGCTTGCTTGACTCATAGGATGAGAATCTCTCATCCCACGTGAAGCTCTGACGTGTATAAATATCATTCGTACGCCATAGATATCGATACACACAATCGCATTTATTAATATCAAAATCGTTGTAACGTTACTAACAAAGGTAGGTTTGAATGTTGTTGTTTTCTTCTTGTTCTTCATATATTCGACATTCATCATATTACAATGAATGAAAAAAGCTACAAAGAACATTTGATACGTAGAGTACTTTAATGTCAATATCTATTAGTACTTTCGATACTAACTAGAAATTTACCAAATCCAGATTACATGGAAGTTAGATTTAGATTTGACCTAACAATTTTGTGTTTAGATTCTGGTCTACTGTATAAATTCACTAAATCATTTGAGTTTTAGAACAATTCTGTGGCTCTCATATCGTTTCTGTATATAAGCAAAAACATATTTCCAATTTTCACATTGTCAAATATCAAAGTCAAATTGTTTGATAAATACAAGTGCTCGATTGAGATCACATCTTAGTCTTGTATCCACTTTTTCGAGATTCTTTTCAGGGCTCTTTTCTCTGTTCATGATCAAACGATCTTCTTGTTCTCTCGACTGAAGGGAGGGTCATATGAAATAAAATGCATTTATATGTTTTTTTGCATTCACGTGTACAATCAAGTGTCCACGTAAATATTGTGATATTTTATAAAGGTTGACTAAAGATATCGAGATCGAAGAATCCGAGTCTGTAATTGGTTTTTACGAATCCTGGAAGTTATAGTGAGAACTCAATAACATTGTGAAAAGTAGTTAAGAATAATTAGTAGTCATTAATGGTAGCTTAGACTAGTTAAGAGCAGTTCAGACTAATGGAAACTAATTATAAGTTCGACCGACTGAAGGGAGGGTTATAAGAAAAAAACTAAATAAGTTTGTATGTGTGTTTTTCTGCGATCACATGCTCATATATATACCCAAAACATCAAGTAAACTGTTTAGGATCCCGATACTTTGAGTCTTTCTGCAAGCCAACAAGCGTTTTTCGTAATTGCTTCTTGTTCCATCAAATTTCTCGATAATGGAATCGTACCCAATCAGAGCTTTCCTCTCTGTTCCTTCTATCCAATAAGTTTTTGTTGATTAGAATTTATCAAAACAGATATTTTAGCTATTAGAATGTCGTGCGGGCAGTTTTTTAAATCTTGGGCTCGCGGTGTTCAGATTTTTAGGGCATTCACCTATTGTCTGATCCTTTTTTTCATAGTCGAAATATCAGTTTATTAGCTATTTTCGGCGTTTGGGATTCGTCTCAGCCGTTGTTTTTTTAGGATCCATTCATAGCCAATCATTTATTTTTCAAGTATAACTTTGATCTAATCTAACTTTTCAAATTTAAAGGTGAAGTCGGCAGCTGAACTCATTTTACATCTTTCTTTTGTGTTCAATTTCGCCTCATTATAACTGAGCAATCAATCACTTGTCGATATTGACATTTCATAAGTATCGACACAGTGTATTCCTGTCTGTAGACAGTTTTCTAATAGTCAAAGTATTTTTAGTTTTCAATCAAGAGTCTCGTCATTAAGAATTTAATATTTTTTCTTCAAGAAGGCAAAATTACTCAAGCAGATTGTAATGAAAAAGGATAATGTCTATTAAAGTGAATTGGCATGAGAGCGGTTAGCCGAGAGTGGAACGCTTCAGAAGGACGTCCATGAACAACTAGCCGCTGATATCAATGTGTCACTAGAAATGTGCCGCACGAAAGATCTGTATAGAATATCGTATGTGTTTTCTAGAGAATGTCCTACTGAGATCGCGTGGATGTAGGTGAGTGTGGATGCCATCGAAGGAGAATTCGTAGCCACATCCGCACCCATCCATACACTCCACACCCATAAACGATTGAATCATTAAGATAAACTTTAACAAACTTGAAATATTTTCTTAGAATGGCGATGTCACAGCATTAAAATTTTTCAGAACTAGAATACTCGATATACTGAGTAATTCTAAAGCGACGACGACTCATTACACCTTAAAGAACACTGTCAACTGAAATCTGACAAATAAAACTTATAGGTCTTGAGTATGTTCTAAAACTCTCTTAGAACTCATTGCAAAAAAGAAAAGTTATCAAAGCTGTGTAATTTGTTGAAAATATCGACTAATGCAAAGTATATACGAAATTAAACTGCACAATGTTAAGGGAAAACGAATGAAACGAAATACTCTCAGATTTTATGCATAACTTACCTATTTGTTTAGTCTGAGTAAAACCAATAGATATAAAGAGATACACGAAGATTTCCTCACCATCATGATAAATATAGAGGTGTCATATCTACTCATGCATGGACACATTTTACGCGTAAAAAGAAGATTTTTCAATCGATTTTGTCTGACTCGGCAGATGTGTTAATAGAGGCACAAGTTATCGGATTTTAAACGCGATAAAAATCGTAAAATTTGTCATGGAAACAAGTAAAAGCAGATAGGTTTAGAAAAAAAATTCCGCATTTTAATGTACTCAAGTATCTCTAACGCGTCTTTTTTTGTGTCTTGTCCAACCGAGTCACGTAGTTGGTATTATTAACTGGACGAACAACACAGTATAGAATTCGTTAGAGTAGATATGCTAACAGGTGATTCCAATGCATCATACGTATCATAATACAGTGCTTCAATCATCGATGTGCCTGATCAGCTGAGCAAAATGACTTTTCTGTTAAATGTCTTTGAATAATCAATTATACTTGGATAGGAATTTTTTGAGATATTTGAACATGATTGACATGAATAATAGGAGTTTTCCTTCATAAAAGTGATAGATCATGTGGTGTCCGTCGTATTGATTCTTGATGCTGTTCGTGGATACTATAGAGAGCGAATGTTTTGGCTTGATCGAAGAATCATTTGAGTTGTAGATAAGATTTATTAGTAGTTATACGATTGAAGACTCTTTTGAGAATATTAAATTGAAGGCTTGGAGCAGGACTGAACATTAGTACGAATGGATCAATTTCTGCCGATGCTTATATGATTGTATTGTACATGAATGTAATTAATTGATACAGCGAATATTCTACTTCAATGCAGAAAATGAAAGAAAGAAAAATATCTGTTCGATTTTTGAGCTTTTTCTCCTTGTACGCTAGCTAAGAATGAACTTTTATGCGATATTTTGTTAATGTTGATAACACAGGAGAAGAATCACACAAATATACTACATCCATTCTTTTCCCAAGATACCCTGCAGAATTCTGAAGATTTTTACTATTTTTTCGCGATTTTGACTACAGTGTAGAAATAAATCAATGATACAAAATTAGAAAATTTATAGCATGCAAGGTATGTTTGTAATTTACACATGTATAATTTTTAACTGTTATGTAACAGCATAGATATCTAAATCATTCAATTACCTCTAATTTCCTTCTATTGATGATCTGTGAACCGCGGGTACTGCTGATCATGGATTATTTGTTAGAAATGACCTAATTAATCAGACAATAAGATGGTTGTTCGTCGATTGATGAATATTTTATGTATCGATAAATGATCGCATAAGAGTTGTAACGAATTCATAAAGGTATAATACACAGCTTGAAAGCATTTTGACAAGCTTGAATTTTTCTTACTTTCTCCTACTAGAACAATGCATGCAATTCATTGTATCGTTTATTATGCACTGAGTAGTTTTGATAGCAGTCGTTGTTAGATAGTGATAAGCAGACAATATAGTAATTTAAAAATTGCAAACTCGAGTTATGTGCGATCATTAAATTAGTTCTTTTTTTTGTGACTGACTCCATGTAAGACGACCAATAGGATGACCATCACAATCATGATGATGCGCCACGTCGTGATAGATTCGCTTCGATTCAACATCAAATATCTTAGTACCTCATAGGTAACTGATGAATTATTTTTCATGACGAGGGAATAGATATACAAAAAAAAAAAAAGAATGAGAAAATGGCAACAAGACCTTGTATTTTCTTATAGTTTTAGTACATATTGATATAATGTCGACGAGCGCAAATCAAGAGAAGATCAAAATCCGCCTTTATTATTGGAACGTTCGTGGTCGTGTTCAAGCGATTCGCTACATGCTCGAAGATATTGCAGCGAAATATTCCAATGTTGAATATCAGGATGATTTTGAACTATTTGAAAAAATGGCCGAAGAGTGGCCTGCTCACAAGGTAGATAGAAACATATCTGGACCATATGGTAATTTACCCGTACTCCATTGGAATGACACACACATTATTGCTCAAACTCTACCCATAGGTTTGTTTTGTGTAGTAGAATTATACAGACATTCTGCATGAACTTTTGTTCTCTGTTTCTAGCTCAATTCATAGCACATAAATTCGACTTGTACGGTAAACCGAAACCAATAAATGAAGATCCTATGATTTTTCAAGCTCTTATCGATGGTGTTGTCTCCTGCGTCTACACTGATATTGTGCTTAATATAGCCATGGTCCTCTATAATGAAGTGAATTTTGACGATCCAAACGATCCATATGCTCGACTAGTGAAAAAAATTGTTGATGATTTCAAGGTTTTGAATAGTCTTCTGACAAACAGTTCAACATCGTTTTTCTACGATCAAGACGAACCAACTATTGCGGATTATTTTGTATTTTATGCATTTACACTAGCAAAAGATTTTTATTTTGCTTTGCTGCCAGCTGACGAGGACACACAAGCATTGAGTAAACTCGAACAGATAATGAGAGGCCGTCCAGCATTGGCCAAATATTTTAATGAAGGTCGTCTATACAACCGAATTAGTGGCTCGCCGACAGAAGAACAATATCGAGCGAAACTTGCTGCGAAGAAAAATTGATCGATATGTAATGCGATTAATAGACACGAACTTGCAAATAAAAAAAAACAATTGATATTAGAAACTTTAGACGCACTTTATTGAGCACTAATTAATGTATTGGGTTGGTAAGAAATTTTTGTCGTTTTTTTATTCGTAACTTCGTAGAACAGTCAAGAAAGTTCTAGGAAGTTACGCATAAAAAAACGACAAAAATTTCTTGCCAACCCAATATTAATTAATGAATTGACTTTTTCAATTGTAAAGTGATCGTTTCATTCGACGTTTTATTAGTGGATAATGTCCTTTACTTGCTGCATATTCTTCAAGATGAAAATCTAATAGAAATTACATATTTAATGAATACGACGATTTTTGTTTTTCGTTTCTGAATTGGTAAAATAAAAATAGCATCAAGATGTCGTTGAAGTAAACAATTAAACATCATTATTTCAGCAACTAATGTCTAAAGAAAAAATTTGATATACTTTATCTAACAAAAAAAAACAGCCTAAACGTTTTAACAAACTTTGCCACCATTTGTTGGAAGTGTATAAATAAGATTCTGATTTCTTTCGACGAGATGATGAATCGAAACATTTTTTTTGCCAACCTATATAGATGGATAGAATCGATGGATGAAATATAAAATTCATATTTATAGTCTTACAAGTATCTGAAGAGCTGATCTGTCAAGTGTACTGATTTCATCATGTTCATCAATAATTGATCTATTGGACACATCCAATAAACACACTTTCTTAATTTTAGAATCATTGTTGATGTATATTTACGATTTGTTGCTAATACAAAAAGATGAACAAAGTTCATCGATAAGATCAAGATCGAAATCATTCATGATTGTGTGTGATAAAACTGATGATCTAAAAAATTTATTCGCTGTTTTCTTTTTTTGTGTGTGTGTAAATAGAATATCAATTTATTAAAAGAAGAGAAACAGTGATAAAATATACCTACCGATCAGAAATTAGAAATTAAACGGGATTCATTGTTTGAAGCTCCTGAATCGGAATTGTATGTGTCAATCTTTATAATTTCTCCAATGGGGTTCTGTGTCACAGTGTTTTGAATCACACTCATTAGAGAAATCCATCTAAATGGCTGTTGAATTTCTAATTTGTGGGTAGTGAGTACCATTGGAAGTTTTGCAGAGTAGAAAACTATTTTCTTGGTTTTCTTTAATTTGTTTCTTATGTCAGGCTCATCTGTCGATGTACCGTCACGTTGTGCTTTTCATATTTTTATCATCCAATACATTTTATTAAAAAAAAAATAAAACATATCACAAAATGCAGTTTGAAAAGTTCGTTGAATATATTCATCTTTTGTTTTCAAAATGAACAAAAATTCTGTTCAACCAATATTCGATGCTACGAACATGATCATTTTTTTTTATGTTATCGATTGAAGACAATTTTATTCATTTTTCATTCAACAGTATTTATATATTGCGAGTATACATAAACCAAACGACTAATTATCCAGAGAGAATTAACAAGACTACGACATGCAGCATACACATATAGAATAATGAAGATAGAGAATTGCATGTATTTTGTAAATAATTACAAATTTCAAAATTGCTTAAAGAGAATTTTGTCCATTTGAAAAAAAACAAAAGATACAAAATATATATACAATAAACTTTTATTTGTAAACTGTAAAGTTTTACACGCTACATCTTGTGATATATTTTCATTTTTCTTTTTAAATAAAACGTATTGAATGATTATAACTCCATGCGTTATTATCAACATGAGCAAATTTAGCATGACACAACATAAAACACATAATAAAACTCAGAAATAATTATTTAATAATCATCAACTTATTGACAAAAGGCGAAGATAATTAGATACAGGTGTATGTCAGTGATTATTGTCGCATTTCGTATAATCTTTGATTAAACAGAATACTCAAATTACACTAAGAGATCATATTTTCTAATAGAATAAATAATCAAAAATTGATTAAGAATTTTGTTTTCAACTTTACAAAATTTTTTCCATATAAATGTTCTTAGTAAAGAGACAAACAAATACTTGATAAAGAATATTATTTGAAAAAACAAGGCGTGTACCTAATGTATAATAAATAAACGAAAAAAAAAACGAGCAAAGCAAGAGAACGATGACGTGTTATGAGTGAGAGATAAAAAATAGTGATATGAAACGACACATGTAATCATACCATTTTCTACCTTAATTTAACATCGATGAAGTATTCAGATATATATATATATTAGATTTGTGATCTATCATCGCATCATTATGTCTAAACAACGATTATTTTTGATGATGAGTTTTTTAGTTATCTGTTTAGCTGTTATCATTGGTATTCTTGATTCAATGAAAACACGTTTCTATATTTTCGATCCAAAACAACTTCATATACTTGCTCAACAAGCTCTAATTACAAATGGACATTTGAATATTACCGATGGTAAATTAATTCCAATAGCTCAAGAAAGTCCTAATACAATACGTCCAGTAATTGATTATATTATTACCGATTTACAAAAAACAATTGATAAACGATATTTAACAGATAAAAAAGAATGGATATTTAATAATGCTGGAGGAGCTATGGGTGCTATGTTTATTATACATGCATCATTTACAGAATATCTTATTATATTTGGAACATCACTTGGTACTGAAGGTCATACTGGATTACATACGGCAGATGATTAT